AATGATATCCATATTTGTGGATTTGTGGTTTGAATTTACATAAAACACTCTTTCCTATTTTAAATTGCATTAATAACACATACATATTTTTTGAACATGTTTTGACAATCAGAGAGCAAAAACAACATTTTTTCCCATTTTAGACATTTAAAATAGGGTTTGGGACATTCCATATGCAGCATGACACTGCAGGATGACACTTTACGTCTGTAACAAAATATAAAACATTTAAAGTATTTGAAATAGCCACTTAAGAGCTAAAATGTGCTGTCCACGCATGTGGCGACTAAGCCCTAGGAGGTAAATGTGGTATGCAACTGAAAGCTTTAGAGTTATATGAGCAGAAGGTTTGGTATGAGTATTCTAGCCGCAGAGTTTCAAATATGTTGTACTCTGGAGATGAGGCTGGCAGGCAGACCAATGAAAAGGGCATTACAGTATTCAATGCGTGATGAAACAAATGCATGGATGACAGTCTCAGCATCCTTGCTTGCTACAGATGAAGGGACGCAGTTGGGCAAAATGACGTAAATAAAAGAATGCAGATTTAATGTAAGACTTAAAGCAGTCGAATTAGTGTGGAGTCGAATTACACCTAAATTTTTGACAGAAGTAGATGTTTTAATGTGAGAGCCAGCAATCTCACAGGAGAAACTGGTCGAAATATTGCTGGTAAGCGCTGGGGTGCCAATAAAAACGATTTCAGTTTTGTCCATGTTGAGTTTCAGAGAATTTGAGTTAAGCCAATCAGAGATTTTATCAATTAGTGCAAATGGAGTAGGTGTACAGAAAGAATAAAGATGAATATCGTCTGCATAAAAGTGATAGTTTAGACCCTGATGTTGTAAAATCAAATCAAGTGGGATTTGGTAAATCGTGAATAATAGTGGGCCCAAAACAGATCCCTGGGGAACACCTCAGAAATTGTCTACACACAATAGACACGGTAGATTATTATAATTGAATAACACAAACCATACCATAAGGCTGCAATGTTGATATACAGTAAAGATCCAAACAAAAACAACTTAGTTTCTAGTAAAATATTTGAAAGTATTTCTGACATTCCTCTTTTTCTTATATGTGACACCATTTCTGGATTAGTGTTCATTTCTACTTACTGCATTTTTGATATTTTCCTTTATCCTGGTTGTGATGCTCTGCTTGAGGTTCAGCTGAGTCCTCAACATTTTCATAAATGTCCTCTGAATCCATCGTTTTCTTGTATGCCGAACAGTGCGTCTTCACAAATGAATGACAGGTGCTTTTCTAAATGTGAGCCAACTCTAAACAGGAAGTTTAATTTTACGCTGATCTTTTAACGAGAATAAAAACACAACAGGAAAACCCTTTGCAGATGGGCACGGCTTGTGTTTTTACACAGCCCATTCAATTTATTATCAGCTTCAAAAGCCAGTGAGAGGACTGTGTGACACTCAAATGGGCTCAAGCATGCTTAAACAGGCCAAACTGAACCTTGATGAAGCAGAATAACAGCAGTGGTGTACTGTAGTCTGACTGACGAAGTGGACACAATGAGATGTCAGCAACAATATGTTCAGTTGTTCAATTTGAACTAAAATTTAAGTGAACTGAAACGCTGCGTTCATGTCTGAATAAAACGCATTTCATGTTGATCATTCAGAGAATTAAAGTCTAAAGAAGCTTGATCTCGAGCAGTGTTCACTGCCTGATGCAGCTCTAAATACAAGTCCTCTAAATACATTGTTTTTGTCACTTAAGAAGTGCTAAACTAAACAGGACGTGACTATTTGACACAAGCCCTCAGGCTGAATATAGTCTTTTCGTTTTAACATTCCTCAGACTGCTGTTTTTAACTGCACCACCAAATGATACCATCATTTACAAGAAAACGGCCCTTAGAAACAAAAGCCTGATACACTGCTGTTGTACAAGACTTTTTCTTAAAGAGCCCCAATTATGGGTATTGACCTTATACAGCATGTAGTGTGTAACACGGCTCTAAGTGAAGTGAAATATCCAGCTTTATCAGATATCATTATATCATGTTTGGCATGCTGTTCTGTGAGAGAGCCATGAGCGCATAAGATCCTCAAGCCTGAGGCTTCCTCCTATTTGCAGGAGGAGAGGGGAGTTTGAGCTCAGGTAGGTCTTGAAAACTCCCCATTTTGTTTAGAGATGATAACAGATTCAAATTTGCTATGTAGAGATATACTGCTGGTTAAGAGCTTGACCATAGTGCTTTTTTTACTCATTTTTGCTGTTTGTTTTTATTTTTATTTTACTTGTTTCTTGTATTCTTGTTTATGTAAAGCACTCCCTGCTGAAAAATCCAGCTTAAACCAGCCTAGGCTGGTTGGCTGGTTTTAGCTGGTCAACCAGGCTGGTTTTAGGGGGGTTTTGGCCATTTCCAGCCTGGTCTTAGCTGGTCAGGCTGGGAGATGACCAGCTAAAACCAGCTTGACCAGCCTAGCAGGCTGGGAGCCCAGCCAAAACCAGCTATGTCCAGCTTAAAACAGGCTGGTCAAGCTGGTTTTAGCTGGATTTAGCTGGTCATTTTTCAGCCTGACCAGCTAAGACCAGGCTGCAAATGGCTGGAAACCTGTCTGAAACTGGCTCTAAAACCAGCCTGGTCAACCAGCTAAAACCAGCCAACCAGCCTAGGCTGGTTTAAGCTGGATTTTTTAGCAGGGTGAATTGCCACTGTGTATGAAATGTGCTATATGGATAAACTTGCCTTGCCTTGCCTTTTTCAGATTGATCAGTTCACTTATGATACAAGTTTGTGGACTGGAGGAGGAAATAAGAGGGGGAACCCACGCGAGACCATCGAGTACATGTAAACTCTGCACAGCAACGACAGCTGGCCTGTTAAAGATTTGAACCAGTGATGTTTTTGCTGTGAGGCAACAGTGTTAACCACTGGGCCACTAGATAAAGGGACGGTTGGAGGAGTAGGGGTGGAAGGGGGGATTCTACAAGGTGAAGATTACTGTAGTAAAAAAAACTGTGGTTATTTATAGTGGTTTAGGAATCATCTGATCGGTGAATCGTGTGTTTTTACCTGTTCTCTGATAAACAGTCCACCGTGGATTAATCTCAGAGTGAGAGGGATTATTAACTCACTCAGCTTCTAACCTACGAGGAGTTTCTCATTTCCTAAATGAGGTTCCTCATTTCGTTTCCTGCTTCTGAGTATGTAAACATTAGGAAATGAAGCCTCTGAACCCTGAAATTCTACACATCTCTGCTCATTCTAGCAGGAGAGATTTTATTATTACACAAGAGCGCCATCTGCTGGTGTGTTGTTTTCACACATGCGCACTGCAAGAATCATATTTTATTTTACTTGGTTAAATATAATATTTTTGAGTAAGCATTACTTTTAAAGTAAGTCGTTTTTTATACTTAATAAAATAAAACAATGAATTATATTCTAGACTAGACTTTGGTCAGGCTTTTTAAAAAGAGTATGTGGTTTTATAATGATAAACATCTGCGTATTGCTAATTGCTATATAAATATATAACATATATAAACAAGCAGATCTCATGTATGTGTTAAAGTAGAAAGTGCACCTTTGAGCTGTTTCTTCATCCTGTAAGTGACGAAGCATTAAAGTTGAGCATTTTCATAAACCGTGGCTTATTAGTTTATCAGTGACTTAAATTGTTTGTTAATTAAGTCTAGCTTTTATGTCAAGCCCGATCACACCACATTTCAAAGTGAGAGGTGCATTTTTATAGAGTTTCTATTGTGATTATTTACCTTACTTTGAAACACTGAGTAAACCCATTGCCTTCAAAGCGATAAGTTGACTTAAAGAAGTAAATGATCCCATTGTAACTTGAGTTGATTGAACTTCAAAATCATGCACAATTCATTTACTTTACAATTTTATGCAACGGGTTAACTAAACTTTAAGCAAAGTCAACTAATCATTTTAAAAGCAACAGGTTTACCAATAAAAGTCAAGTCAGCTAATCGTTTTTTTTTTTTTGACATAAGAACATCCTGATTGTACATCATCTCTCGTTTGTCATTATGTTTAATGATTGGAGTCATGTTTAATTTTGCTCTTCTGAACTTATGTTAATGGCGCATTAGTGAGTATCAATGCATCCTGATTTTCACTGTGCATTGGGACTTTTGAGGGCATGAACATTTCAGTGTGCTGGAAGAATCCAGTACTTAAGGGCGTACTCACACTATGCTATACGCAAACCGTGCCCAGGCCTGGCTCCTGGATTGTTTGTGAAGTGTGAGTTAATCGGGCTCAGGCACGGTTTAGTTAACCGGCCATGTCCCAGTTGGAAGAGGTCTGCGCGGTTCACTTGGGCTTTGGCGCAGTACGCTTGTAGTGTGAGTGCAAATCGTGCCTGAGCCCGAAACTGAAGACGAGACGTGACTTTAGGGAACTGTTTGATATGGATTTATTAATCACTCTTACTGTTCAATGAACACAAACTGTCGTAGATTATTAAAGACGCAAACCCCTTACCGCACAACAGCTACACCTTCAGCAAACCTCCTAATTCCTGCAGCACGGGGACTTCAAAAGTGGCTGATCTGTTCAGTGAAATATGTGACTGCATGTCATCGCATCCCAAACCACTAAAACTATATAACTAGAGAAATGTCCACTGTGCTGAGCGAGAGAGCTTCTTACTGAACAGTGCGTCATCAATACCATAAGCGTGCTCGAGCTCGAATGTAATGTCAGTGCAGACCATTGGAGGAGACTGGAGGGGGGACAATTGTACTTCGACCCGATTCAAGGCAACTGTATGAAGTGTGAGTACACCCTAACACAGCATTTAACGCACTTCAGACAGCCCTTTACATGGCAGATGTCCTCACATCTGTGATTAGCCCTTAAGATCTCATCTTCTTCTGCATGATTATTCAAGTCAGATAAACCTGCTCTCTGCTGCGCCCTGCTGGCTTGGAGGAAAACTATTATATAATTCAATGAAGCAGAAATGCATGAATGAAATACATAAAATTCAATTCACTTCAATTCACCAATTTATTAAAAGAAAGCAATTCCATTCGAAGCTTTTATACTTCTGTATTTTACCATAATCATTTCATACTTCTCAAACCATAACAGCTAGATTAATATAATATATTATTACACATATTAAAATAAGTCTGCTTATGCAGGAGAAAAACTAGTTTTCAGATCAGCCCTTTACATGACAATATTATATATTTAATGAACAGTTAAAGAACAGGAATCTTCAAAATGAATAACACAATCATGTTAGGATTTGATAGAATATTACAGGAAAAATCTTGACAAGACTGGATGAAGCTTATTTCTCACAAACTGCTTTTCTTGAATCTGAGCATCTGCGATCATTCCAGTTATTTGGAGTGCCTTGTGAAATTCTCACTTCAACACAGTCCTCCTTCGCACCTTGATAGTTATTCGGCTCACCTTTAGCCCAAAACCTAAATAAAATGTCAGATTTTCAATTATTCAAGTCACAAAATCAAAGTTTAAACACACCAGTGCTGACAGCATGTCTAATCCTCACTGCTAAATAGGGGCCTGGCAAAGTAAAACAGCATTTTGGCTTTATTCATCCACGCATACTCATACCTGTCAACCCTTCCGTTTTTCACGGGATTCTCCCATATTTTATAGTTGTATCCCGCTATCATCCTGTAAAGGTAATTTCCCGTATTTCTCCCGTATTTTCAGTCTTTCTCTGAAGGGTGGAAAATAAACATTAAAGAGCCGAGCCCTTTCTATACGCAATCCATACCGCCGAACCACCAGAGGTCGCCCCTTGCTCTTAAATATGAGTTCGTTCTGTGCTTTCGATTTGTTTAGGCATGAAAACTCTTTAAAATAAATAAAAATAAAAAGAACGGCGGGAATCCCTTTTTTCATTACAGGTGGCGTCTCCCCTTCATATGCAATCCTCAAAACAGTCATATAGCAGTGCGTGACTGTCAGCTGACGAGTTCCATAAAGATCAATAGACGCTGTTTCCCAAACAGATTGTGTACACGCAATTTGAAGCGGAGTGAAAGTCACGGTTTTGAGTGAGTGTTTGAACAGTCAAACACATTAATAATAATAATATCTAAAGATGTCGATCTTGGTGGTTTTTTAAACACAAATAATTTCGTCCTAAATGAGCATTAAAAGTTAGGAAAGCAGTCAAATGCTTTCATATTAATGTTAGATTTGTGCATTTTTAAAGTGACACCTCTGTTATTTAATGTGATCAAATAAATTTTTTTTTTTAAATAAATAAGAGATTCATTCATTGGTCTTTAATCAGAATGTGTGGGTTATACAGTGAAGAAACGGCTAATGAGATTAGATAGCTTGATTCTATTTTATTATAATAGCTATTAATTTTAATAAGCTGAACTGTTTGCTAATTGGCGAGGCAGTGGCACAGTAGATAGTGCTGTCACCTCACAGCAAGAAGGTCGCTGGTTCAAACCACGGCTCAGTTGGCGTTTCTGTGTGGAGTTTGCATGTTCTCCCTGCCTTCGCGTGGGTTGCCTCCGGGTGCTCCTGTTTCCCCCACAGTCCAAAGACATGCGGTACAGGTGAATTGGGTAGGCTAAATTGTCCGTAGTGTATGAGTGTGTGTGTGAATGTGTGTGTGTGGATGTTTCCCAGAGATGGGTTGCGGCTGGAAGGGCATCTGCTGCAGAAAAACTTGCTGGATAAGTTGGCGGTTCATTCCGCTGTGACGACCCCGGATTAATAAAGGGACTAAGCCGACAAGAAAATGAATGAATGTTTGCTAATTTTTTTTGCTGCTATTGTGTACTATTTATTTTTTCTTTTGTAAATAATAATAATAAAACCTATCACTGACCATTTAACTGTTTATTTACAATGAAACGGCTCCAGAAGAACAGATTTTGTTTGGGGGGGGGGGGGGGGTCGAGGGAATCCCTTATAGTGGGCATATCCTTTATTTTCACATCCCGATGTTGACAGGTATGCATACTGTATGTGTCAACGCAAATCAATTTGAAAGCATTGTTTATACAAAAAAGCCTTTTTTTGGAGCATTGACTTTCATTGACTTCATTATTAGTATAATCCCAGTTTTACTACAAAAACTATGGTTAAATTGTAGCTACCACTGTGTAAATGTAAGTTATACATGCAGTATATATTATATGCTTGTTTTACCACTGTTTTTGTAGGAATCCGATGCACCAAAAATACTGGTTACAGTAGATTCACCAACAAAACATTGTGGTCATAAAGAAAAACATCACCGTTATGTATGTGCTAATTGTGGCTAATTGTGATTGTGGGGCTTTTGGAAAACAAGTGTTGTCATCTGTTTTCAGAACATTTTAAAATGGGCATAAAATCTTAAGCAGTTTCTGTGTGCTTTATGACTTACCCTTGATTCAGTGGTGAGTTATCCACCCACTTCCACTTATTGCCTCCAGTCTCTGTGACGGATAAACCAATCCATGTGTCCTCCTTGACTAATGAAGATATGAACCTCTGTGTGGGAATTAAAGCAGAATAAGTGTGATTCCTCTCATTCATCAACAAACGCTCAATAAACAAACTCACCTGCTTCTCTTCACTCTTAATAATGACCAGATCAGCTCCACGATCCCTGCAGAACTGCCTGCTCTCAGACCAGCTCATCGCCTCAGTGGACATGAAAAACCAACCTAAACAACACACACTTTCATACACTTAAAACTGTTTGCAAAGTATAAAGAAACTACTATAATCAGATCAGCACTGACCTGATTTAGAACGAGCCTCCTTCAGTTCAGCACTCAATGACGTGACTCTGTTCTCCAGCTGCTGTTTCCCCAGACTCAGAGAGTTGTATTTGGTCTCCAGTTGCTGTTTCTTCAGACTCAGAGAGTTGTATTTGTCCTCCAGCTGCTGTTTGTCAGTCTCCAGATCAGTGTTGTCGTGCTGTAAGCTGCTGATGGTGTGATTGAGCTCTTCAACTGTGTTCTTGTAAGTCTTGAACAGGTCTCTCTCTGCTGTGATGCTGATGTTCTGCAGTGTGATGAAGAGCAGCAGAAGAGCACAGATAAGCCCCATGATCACCAACACCACACACTTCCATCTTCCTGACAAACACACACAGATACCAATGAAAAACACTTCAACTCAGCTTCAAATCTTGTATTCTTTCTTAGATTCTGTAGATAAAGATTATATGGTAGCAATGTTGCTGTATTGTTGAAAATCCAAACAAGGATGTAAAAATGCAAACGAATAAAAAAGCTAATAAAATAATAACACATTTAACATAAAAGCAGTTCTTAGGAAAATAGTTGAACTATTTCTGACATTCCTCTTTTTTTCCTACCATTTCTGCTTTACAGTTCGCTTCTACTTACTGCGTTTTCGATCGTTTTCTTCATCCCGATTGTGATTCTGTGATTGAGGTCCAGTCGAGTTCTTAATATCTCTACACTCAACATTTTCATAAACAGCCTCCATTATTGTGTCGTTGAACAGTACGTCCCCACAAATGCTATGCTCTTGAATAAGATGTGCAATTTTTGGGATTGTTTTAACTCTAAAAAGGAAGTTTCATTGCACAATGCTCTAACCACAAACATGAAGACATCGAGTCCAACACAAAATCCCCCTGCAGACCCATGTTAGGCTCATATCTGCATATCTTACATAAATCAGCTTCAAAAGCCAACAAGAGAGATCTGTGACACTCAAATAGGCTCAAACAGGCTTCAACAGGTCAAACTGGACCTTTACATTGAGGATAGAGGAACAGCAGTGGTGAAGAGAAGCGTAACTTAGGAAGTCGACATACTGTACAGTCAGTGTAAAGCGAGATGAAAGACTGTTGTAACCACTGACGCCGCCAGTAGCAACAGGCTAGCGCAGAAATTCTGTTGAAAATACTGGGATAAAATAACATTTTTAAACATAAACTTCAAGAATTCACACTTAGATATTGTTTGACAACTGTTAGCAGGTTTGGCATGCTGTCCCGGGAGAGAACCCTGAGCTCGGAGATAGTTGAGCCCAGGGCTCCTGCCTGGTCAACAGAGCATGTAAGGGGAGTATGAGATCAGGTGGTTCTCGAGAGCTTCCCGTGGTAAAGAAGGAAAAGGGGTGGATGGGGGTTTCTTCGGAAAACGAAAGTAATGGAGTAGTTCTAGCTTGGCTACTTATAGTGAGTTTGGATTCATCTGATTGGCTAACTAATGATTGTAGATGGGTGGCCAGCTGCAGTCAATCATATCACATGCTCCTCTGCAAATTAGTTTGTGAAACTTCACATAAAACTTGCATTCAAACAATTAGACATTTATACAATATTAAAATTTAAACAATTATAAAAATATATAATAATAATAAAAAACAAAAACAACAACAACAGTCATAAAAATAATAATTAAACAAAAAAATAATCATGCATTCTTCCAACCAGCCACCAGTGCTCTCCAACAATAGAAGTAGGTACTAAAGGCATAGTAAACATATTAATCACAACTCTCATAGCAAAATATCTCTGGCCCAGCTCAGGCCCACAATCAGCTTTTGCTTGGCCCACATGCCGCAGTAAATTACGGTACATGACTGGACCAAGTCTGGCTTCCAGACAAGGGCCAAACATGGTCCATATCTAAGTCTCAGCCAAGTTAATAACCCATTACTGAGCCTGAACTGGGCCAGATATGTTAGTGTGTTTCAACTACAACGAAATTGATAAACCCATGAACCATTGCACTTTAGGCGTGCTTTTTCTCGAAGTGACCTAATTGGTAGAATTTTTTTCTTTATTTGAAAATAGTAAAAATGTATTTTAAATGTGGGTCACGATAGGCCAAACTTACATGGGCCACATATCAATTATTAACATCTGGGCCAAATACTACAATTTAAATCATAAGGAATGAGCTGGATATTTATCTTAAATTTGGAATTTTCTGAATGGCTCACTAATGATTAGCGATAGGGACCAGCTGCGGTCAATCGGTCGAAATCAAAGACGAGGGCTTGTACTTTTTTTTTTTTTCTGGACGGCTTTTGCAAACCGTCACTTGGGTTTAGGAAAAGAGGAGGAGGAGGAGGAAGAGGAGGGCGGTCGGGTCGGCCGATCGCCCGGTCAATCGTTCGGTCGTTCAGCCAGCCAGTCGGACGGACGGTCGCTCCACAGCGGCCTCCGACGGCTTTTCACACGAGAACAGCGCGGACGCGAGCGGCGCACGCTCCCGAGAGACGCTCGAGATGCGAAAAACCGCACACAGCAGCCTCTCGCAGATCCGCGAAAACAAAAACTGCATGAATATGTACCTCCCGGGACATATTTCGCAGTCCGCAGAAACGTCCACGGATCATGGAAAATTGTGTTGGTAATACACTTCATAATAAAAGCAGAAAATGCTCTTTTGAGCCGATCCTTCATCCTGAGGATGAGTCTCCATGATCAGCATTTCAGTGCCTAATTAGTTAATTATTTACCCTTATTAAATAACATTTCTAAATAAGTTTAGCTCTTGTGTAGGACAGTGCAGGATTTGTATAATGCCATGTCTTGTTTAGAAATTGTGTTAATGTAAACCGGAAGTGTTCTGATTTCAGTCTGGCCTGTCTGATGAGAAGAACAAACTCTCCTTTCAGCCAGAAACATCTCTGCAGATTCAGATTTGGTGTGTGTATCACATTTACATGCTGCTGTCTTAATGTCTACTGAACGAACCAACAATAACCTCAAACATGATTCTCTAATAATGGTCAAAAACAATGTCAAATAAAGCGTCTCTCTACTGCATCCTGCTGGCTGGAGGAAAACTCTCATAGACATCCATCAAGTGCAACACAACAAAACTTTATTATGATGATGATAAGCAATCAACCTCAAGATGACACACTCGATATCTGAATAATATAACAGAGTAGAAAACAGGGCAGTAAATCAGGTTTTAGCAAAAAGGATGTTGGGTTATTACAGAAGAGAGTATGATGACAGTTCAGTATATATCTGATAAACTTGATGTGGCATATTACAGGAAAATATAAAACATAAATGATGCAATAAAAGCAGGTTATGTCAAATTAAAGTCGCTAACTGCTTTAATGGGTCACCAATCTTGGCCAAACATCACTTTCATAGTGATTTAACCATAACAAGAAAAATATAATGATGTTAAACCACAACAAGATCGAATGAATCTATTTCTCACAGATCCCTTTTCTATTCTTTGAGCATGGCAGATCATTCCAGTTGTTCAGGGCAGGTTCTGTAGATATCAGTTCAATACAGTCTTCAATTCCATCTTGATCATTCGGCTCACCTTTCAGCCAAAACCTGAATAACCACAGTGTAACATCAGCAACTCAACAGCGCAAACATGTTGATTCAGTGAGTGATGAGACTGCTCAAAAGTTATTCACAGACCGCTCATTAAAAGGTTTCAGTGTTAAAGATCTAGCACAGCTGTTCTTAACCTGGGGTTTGCCAAGGCATAGTAGGGAGGTCATGGGGAAATTTGTATTTTGAAATAATTTTACTTTAAAGAATACTTGCCTAATACCACCACCTACTGGAGACAAAAATAGATCTAACGGCCATCTGAAACTCGCATGGGCTTACTGATTAGACATTTTGGGCACACTTTATTTTAATATACATTTCACACTATTAAACTATCAACTAAGACTTTTAGTTCAATAAACTACTAATTGGTTGCTTATTAATAGTTAGTAAGGTAGAGGTTGGGTTTAGGTATTGCATAGGATTAGGGATGTAAAATAATTTCATACTTTATCAGTGCGAATAAACAGTTTATATCTTAAAGAGCCCATATTATACATGAAATAGGGTCATATCTTGGTTGTAAGGGTCTCCAACAACAGTCTAATATGCATGCAAGGTCAAAAAACACTTTCATGGTCTTATAATCTGCATTTATTTTTACCTAATTATTCCAGTGACTCCTGTATGAATCGTCCAGTGATTCATTTGTTCCCAAACCCCTCCTTAGCGCGAAGCTAATCTGCGCTGATTGGACCAATGGCAGTCTGTTGCGATTGGTCGACTGCCTTCAGTCAGAGAGGGAAATGGCAAACAGCTAATCAGCAATATAAAAGTAATCACAGTTCATACACGCTCGATAGTGTAGGCGTGGAGTTTAGCTGCCAGTGGGTCAATGTAAATACAGTCCATGGAGTTGAAAAATACAGACGACTAACTATTTTATTAAGCAAAAACTCCAAAAACTGTCGAAGAGATCTCCTAGCTTGTCTCACTCTGCTCTTTTCACAGACACACACACAAACACACACACATACCAAACAAAGCAGCATGCGTCGCGTTTTTAACATGACTTTGCACGCGATAAGAGAATATAACGAGTTAACCTGATACAAGTACAAATCACAACTAAATACATTTGCAAGCTCGAGTAAACGAGGCAACAACTTTAATTGCACGTACTTACACTTGAGAAATGGAGGAAGAAACCCATCCTGACATGTCCATCAGTAAGTTACTCTTTACTGATCCTTCCTTTAACAAACGCCGATGTTTCCAGTTGTTTCCAACTGCTTGGCTATAATGCTGATGTTTCATCTTTGGGTTGAGACTCGATATAATATCCATCTGCAGTGTGACTTCAATCGACCGGCATGTTTGTGTGTGTGCGTGTGTTTGTGGGTGTGTGTGTGTCTGGGTTTCTGCGTCAGAGGGCGGGGCCTCAGGTTTGAAATCTCCCGGGTTTGCGCGTGCACGTGAATAACTTGTTCGTTCGTACGTCATGGCGAAACACCTAATGAATCGGTATCAAGGCGACTCGTTTGAAGCACTATGAGTCGACTCTTTTATAGATGAATCAACAGTTTTAAACACTGTACACTAACAGATTTAAGCCTTAGCTGGATACTTCACTTCACTTAGAGCTGTGTTACACACTACATGGAGGGGAATTTTCAAAAACCCATAATATGGGCTCTTTAATAAAAGGCAGGTAATAAGCCAGTAGTAAATGGTGTGGATTGTTACTTATGTCTCTTGTTAAAAGATGTAAAATAATTATCTGATGTCTGTGAGTGTGTATGTGAAGTTTCAGCTCAAAATACCACATAAATAATGTTTTATAACTGTCTGAAACAGACCCTTTATATCTGAAACAGACCCTTTTAAGCTTTGATACTAATTGTGCCGTTTTGGTGACTGTTGCTTTAAATGAAAAATGCCTGTGTGTCAGCATAGTGGCAGATTCAAAAACAAGACCTAATGTCCTATGCTAATGGAGTAAAGGTGGTCACTAGTGTTTGGGGTTTTCCCTGAATGTCAATCAAAGTGTTTCAGACTGTTTTCATCAAGTCTGATTATAAAAAATAAAATTATTACATTTTAAAATATATATGTTAAATATTCATTCATTTTAATCAGCTTAGTCCCTTGCTTATCAGGGGTCGCCACAGTGGAATAAATCGCCAACTATTCCAGCATATGTTATACACAGCCGATGCCTTTCCAGCGGCAACCCAGTACAGGAAAACACCCATACACTTTCACATTTACACACACACACACACACACACACA